TATATATGTATATATATATGAATGTTTGTGTGTGTGCAAAAAAAGAGAGAGAGAGACCCAAATATGACAAAACACTTGAAAAAAACAAGCTGTAGTGGTGCTGGAAGAATGTCCTCTCTCATCCACATTGAACTCTTACTATAGTTCATTCTCTGATTTGTTTTATATTTGAAAAATCATTCTAGTTCTGCAGATAAAACTCCCAACAATCTGTGCTACATAGGCAAATTTTGGCAATTGTGTTTATGTGTATGTAAGTGTGTGTGTCTGTGTGTGTGTGTGTGTGGCAGGGCCATAACACACACACTCCTCTGTGTTCGCATGGCCGTGCAACAAAAGCAAGGATGACCCTCTGTCTTCCTGATAATTCACACAATGCTGTATCTCCCGTCACATACCTTATTCCAGATTCCTGTGTCTTGATTCGGGGACCATATATGGACTTCCTGTAGTCGACACRAGAAACTTCATCTGTAGCAAGTTTTCCCCTCCCATCTGGTTTTGGAGAGAGATTAAAAACAGTTTTCTTTTTTGCAGACACTGACCCAGCTCTGATTCATGCTGTAATGCTGTAATTCACACAGTTCTGAAAAATCCTAATTAAAAAAAACTACTGAATGTGACAAAGACTGAATAGGGGAGTCACCGCAGGCAGAGCGTGCTTTTGATTGTTACCGTATGTAACAGGATTCATGWGAATGTAATATGTAGTGTTTCTAAAAGCAAAGACGAGGACTGCAAACTGCATGTGAGACATTCCTCTTGTTTTTAATGTGTTTAACCTCACTTTTATTGTTGCAAGGATCAAATGTGTGCTATACTTGAAGAATGAGGCATTTAAAAAAAGATCTGCACATTATCATCGCCCACGAATAAAGAAATGTAACAACAGATCTATCCCCTCGAAAGATGTCTTACTGTAATTCATGTTTTTATATAAAAGTGTTTCTGACGCATAAAAAGTTTAGTTTTGTAATTTTATTATTCTGTCAGAAGTCACTCAGACAGAGAACACTTCTTTCTACTGTTAGTGTCGTCAAAGCACATCTCAACACCTGTCACGTCTTTTAAATTGCTGTTTTGATTACCTAGATGGTTCTTTTTTTATAAGGAGACTAGATTTATTTATCTAAACATGAAAAAAGTCTAAAGTTATTTAATGTATTCAAATCGGGATGTATCCTTTTAACTGTAGATGACATAATCTGCTTTTTCCAATAAAGTGGTTTTGTAGCTAACTGCACAAGATTTTGTTTTTTTTTTTTTGTTGTTTTGTTTTGTTTTGTTGTAGTGTATCATTGTTTGGCCTATTTTGTAATTTAGTCAAAAATAATAGCATTTTTAAACTAATAAAACAAGATCCATTATTATTTGTTTATATATTCCATAAAAGCTCTATTTAATAATTAAACTAAGTTAATTGTTAGTATAAGTTAGTTTCCTCAAGGCCATTGATTTTAATGTTTCAACAGAGTCTAGCTGTTTTGAAGAGATTGTTCAAGTTTTTAAAAAAAATGTGTCAAATTAAGGTTCGTGTACCAAATGTGGCCCACCGCATATTTTATGTGGCCCGCGAAAGCTTCAAAGATGTGTTATTGTCTTAAAATGCATGTATGCTGTTTTAAAGCCAGAACTGATCATAAACTACATTTCCCATAATGCATGTCAATTATTTTGACATCCTACCACTAGGTGGAGGCAGACAGGGTTCAAAACTAGTTAGTATCCGGTGAAATTTTGTCATGCAAATTCCCTATTTTGCTGCATTTTTGCCAGCTACTTTTACCGAGGCCCAGGCGTACTTGGAAATGGGAATTTCCCACTTACAAGTCATAAATTTAAACTGGAACGCCCCTCCTGTGGATATTTCCAGTCAGAAAGTGGGAGAGTTCAGAAATCAAAATGGCAGCTACTCGCCACAACTCAACAGTGAGTAAAACGTTTTATAGTATTTCTGTATTGTTTATTTCACATTTAGTCCACCGTACATGTAGTACTTTCCAATATTCCTAATTTAAAAACACTGTTTCTATGCATTATTTACCATGTACAGCCCAGTAGCAATGTGCCAAGAAACATGACCTTTCATGTTCAGTTGAAGGTAAACATGAAACGTTGACGTTAATCACAACTGGCCCTTTGAGAGCCAACATAACGCTCATGTGGCCCTCTGTGAAAATGAGTTTGACACACCTGTTTTAAAGGGTTTTGTGAAGAAGAAAAAAAAATCTTACCTGTTGTAGATAGTTCTTTGAATGAACTGAACTTGTAGAAAACGAAGGAAGCAGCTTGGTGAATTGAGTACCTCCATGGGATGTGAAGCGCATCAGGTCCAGTTTTTCAGTGTTTTGGGAAAGACAAACTGGAAGATAATTGTATTCATTATTTTGTGTTTGTTGAGCCGAGATGCCAGTTAGATCGGCATTAAAGAGGTTTAGTCTGTGGATGCTTTATCTTACCGTGCCCCAGCGTGTGTTTATAGGGGTTTACCAGTTATCTGTTTTACCATCCAGCAGAGATGAAAACAATCAGAACTTACTGTAAGTATTTACGAGATGTGGAGWATCAGACAGTGAGGTCATGAGTCAAGTATGATCCAGAGTTAACAGGGGGCAGGGGGGATCCCTTGATCCTGCTTGTTTGTGTGAGAGGAAGATGAAAGTGACAAATAAAGAAACCCGATGCTTCTGTCATGTCTGCTAAAGCTGAACATTTCACTTTTGAAATTGCTGCTGCTGCAACCTCCTTTAACATTGTTGCCCTTTACTCTCAGTGTTTTAACCCTTGTGTTTATAAAGCTGTAAAAAACAAGAATAAAAATGATTTTCTTCAGTTAAGTTGTGTTTATCAGTTAATTGCAACCCAAATTGTAAAACAACAGATAAAAAAATACCAATAATTGCAGCTGAAGACCTCTTCTGGGAAGACTGGAAACTCCCACACAGCATCATTAGTTTCTTTAAACATGGGCAAAGAGGTATTTTTTGCATTGTTTGATAAAAATACTGTTGTTTAATTTGGTCCATGCATGCAATCCTGCAGCATGTCACGTGACAAACCCGTCCCTCCTGGGATGCAGCCTCAGCAGCACTCAGATGTTCAGAGACAGTCGGAAGCTTGAAAAAATAGAAGTCATTGTGCTAAAACCAAAAAAGACAAAAAAAAAAAAAGAACCAGAGACAGTCTGTAAATATGACATTAAACATTTAAACTGGTCAAGTCGGAATAAACATGATAAATTTAACTATGATGCGTTGAGAAGAAACAAAATAAACAGCAAGCGGAAGCTGACTGATGAGGCAGCTCCCTTGGTGCTGACCATTTTCCAATCCAGCACATAAACATTCCTGGAAAACTTCACACAGCAGCAATTACAGAGTTTCAAGGGGACATCGGTGATAAAGTTTTAAAACAAACAAAGAAGTCCCGTTTTAAATCAAACAATAATAGTTATTTTTGAATTTCTGCTGACAAAACCTCTGGCCTTGAAATGCAGACGCTGTCARACAAAGAAAATACCTCAGACTTCAGCGACAGCATGCTAATTGTGTCCTTTCATTTCAGACTTTACAAGCTGAAACTAACTGTTGGGCTGCTGCAGATAAATGAGAAAACGGCACCCCTGTGGTGCTGTATTGTACAACATTTGGGGCCAAATGGAGCATAAAGTAGGCTGATAACAGAGCTGCTCTTTCCTGTGAATCTTATCTGAAATTTTAGATCAAAACGTTAGTTTGGGGAATTCCTGATCTGGTTCGGATGAAGATGATAAAGAGCCTCAAAAAGAAACATAAACAGAACAAGAGAGGGGAGGAAGGGTTATAGAAGGGAATTTTAAGCAGAAAATCAAAAGATGATAAATACAAAATGATAAAAATGTGAGCTAAAGCAACACGAAAACTGAAAGGAATCGAGTGGCTACAGAGATGTGAACAGTGATCACAAATGTTTTTAAAAGAACAACAAAATATAGGGCGCCAAGTGTAAAATAAAAGGTCAAAAATGTCACTAACACATTTTAATTATTTAGCTCACTTTCTGGATGTAAAATAAATTAACAGATACATAACAGTGAGACAAATAATAAAAAATATATGCCCCCCTTAACAAAAGAATCTATGGTTAGTCAATCAATAAGTGAAGGTAGTCCGTTTGTGAACAGTGTTATGTCATATTTTGAGCATCAGAGCAGAAAAGTCTGCAACAGGTGCAGTTGAATCTGTGCCACAGTTGAGCAGATGGTGGTGAGAAGTCTAGATTTATCTTTCATCAGTCTAACACAGTTCTAATGACCTGTGGCACAATCAGCCTGAAGAAGTCTTGGATGTGATCCTGTAAGTCACTTCTTTCTGGACTCTGCAGAGATGCTCAGCTGAGCCTAAATCAGGGGATTTGTTTCAGGACTTTCAGAGTGTTTGTTGACAGCAGGCCTGTGTTTTCTTTGCTATAGGGCATTGTCTTGTTGAAATCTCCCAGATATTTTTTGATATGTCCRGAAAACTGTTTTCGCCCAAGAAGACTTTGGACTTTTTTTTTTAATCGATCCACTTTTTCTTTCTTTTCTACTCAGTTCTGGCATAGAAGAACAACAACAACAAAAAAAAAAGACACAAAATAAGGTGATACTTGTCTCACTCCTGTGGCACTGAGA